TCCCCGGTTTCTTGCCACCTGAGTGAGGAATACTGAGGACCATGGTCCCAGTCCCAGGGAGTCGCTGTTGCTTGCGATTGCCATTGTGCGTCATCACCGTTCAATCTGTCCAAAGATCAAATAAAGGACTATATGGGGTTGTCATATAGGGGTTGCAATGGGTTGCATCATTTTTTCCCAGGTTTTCCCTTGTTTAAATGGCTATTAAATTGGCACCATGCATCCCCCAGTTTGAAAGGAAAACTCCACCCTTGCTCCGGCTGACTCCGAGTTGCATCTTCTTGGTGCGGCTGCCAGATGCCAACGGCATCACTTCACTGAAGTCCACGTCACCTCCAACTGGCATGGGTTAACCTTGTTCTAAGGGGCAATTTGCCCCACAGTATGTGATGTTTCCGTGTGAAAATCATGATAGATTGCAATTTCAATCAATGGGTATGGTAAACTATATAGTCGTCAAGTAATGAGAAACCGGCGTGCGGAATACAATTTTTTGAGACTATACCCAAGTTAAGTTTGAACCTGCACTGTCCCACTCTGAGTGGTTTGGGAATCCGAGAGCATGTTTGGGATTTTCTTCATTTGTCTTCTGTCTACACGGACGCTTGGAGGTGCAACACACATTTGCAGTTTCCAGTGCTGAAACCACATCGACAATACGGCACAAAGTTGGAGCCGCGCCTTTGTTTTCGATTTGCCGGATCTCCTGTGACACGCCATTCTTGAAGACACGGGTGGCGTTGCTCAAAGTTCCAAGAACGATAGTCGTCTGCCTAGCCCGTGGCATCGGGCGATGCTATAAGGTAGAAATGGATGGCAGTGGCATCGTATGGACTACGATTGTCCTTCGTTCGTCTGTTCTGACACTTCTGCACAGTTCCAGCGAGGTGGTGTAGTTTGAAAGTTGAAGCTGAACTGAAACATTTCAATGACTGAAAAGGATGAGTCGCAAGCAACCCTGCCAAGCACCCCCCCACACACACACACTCACAAGCGTTGAACGAATTTGAAAGACTCAGCAAGTTCAGAAACCTTCAGTAAACCCCTCCAGTCGCAAGGTAGGCGCCTCTCATCTACCTCTGGACGCATCATGCACTCCTGGCTGTGCCAAAGCCAACGCCTTTTTGCCCTGATGCATCCCGAGTTCTAGGCTCCGCCAGCCGCAAGCCAAGTCATCTGGGATTATCAAGAAACATTGGGCAACCCAAAAATCCTGTCTTTCATCATTTTCTCCATCAAAATTGCTAGATGTGGGCCATAGTGGGCCCCATGGCCGGCCTGGCCTTGATTTTCTGATCAATGGGAGCCTGCGAAGACGGGCACAGGCTGCCGGCCAAAGGGCCGGAAGGGGATATAAATTCTGTTTTACCATTTCTATCTGTAAAAATTCTAGTATATGCATGTATATGCACATATATGCATACAGTTGATCTTTCACCATATGCATCGTATGGGTGTTTATATTGTTGTTCTCTTTTGTTCATACAGTTATTTGTTTCTGATTCTGATGTATTTGTTGTATTTATTTAAACCAACCAACCAAAAAAAACTAGACGACGGATGGCCCGAGAGCGTAGAGGAGCAGAGTCTTCTGTTGTTAGTATGGAGACACGCTTTTTACACACAGGCTCTTTTACACACAGACGCTTTTACACACAGACGCTTTTACACACAGACGCTTTTACACACAGACGCTTTTACACACAAACACTTTCACACACAGAGGCTTTTACACACAGAAGCTTTTACACACAGACTCTTTTACACACAGACGCTTTTACACACAGACGCTTTTACACACAGACGCTTTTACACACAGACGCTTTTACACACAGACGCTTTTACACACAGACGCTTTTACACACAGACGCTTTTACACACAGACGCTTTTACACACGGACGCTTTTACACACGGACGCTTTTACACACGGACGCTTTTACACACGGACGCTTTTACACACGGACGCTTTTACACACGGACGCTTTTACACACGGACGCTTTTTACACACAGACGCTTTTACACACAGACGCTTTTACACACAGACGCTTTTACACACAGAGGCTTTTACACTCAGAAGCTTTTACACGCAGAAGCTTTTACACACAAACACTTTTACACACAGACGCTTTACACACAGACCCTTTTACACACAGACGCTTTACACACAGACCCTTTTACATACAGACTCTTTTACACACAGACGCTTTTACACACAGATGCTTTTGCACACAGAGACTTTTACACACAGGCGCTTTTACACACAGACGCTTTTACACACAGACGCTTTTACACACAGACGCTTTGACACACAGACGCTTTTTGACGATCGACCTTCATTTCGTGCGAAAGGGTTGCTCGGGGACAAGTAAACTCGCAATTTTTCCTCAGTTTTTGACGATCGACCCTCATTTCGTGCGAAAGGGTTGCTCGGGGACAAGTAAACTCGCAATTTTTCCTCAGTTTTTGACGATCGACCCTCATTTCGTGCGAAAGGGTTGCTCCAGGACAAGTAAAATCGCAATTTTTCCTCAGTTTTTGACGATCGACCCTCATTTCGTGCGAAAGGGTTGCTCCAGGACAAGTAAAATCGCAATTTTTCCTCAGTTTTTGACGATCGACCCTCATTTCGTGCGAAACGGTTGCTCCGGGACAAGTAAAATCGCAATTTTACCTCAGTTTTTGACGCTCGACCCTCATTTCGTGTGAAAGGGTTGCGTTTCGTGCCGTCTCGTTGGCACTGCCCCTGCTCCCGCCTTCAAAAGAGAAATAGAAAAGAAGGAGAGGGCAAGAGGGCAAGAGGGCAAGAGGAGAAGATGTGAGATGAGAAGATGTGAAGATGAGAAGATGTGAGAAGATGTGAGAAGATGTGAGAAGTTGTGAGAAGATGTGAGAAGATGTGAGAAGATGTGAGAAGATGTGAGAAGATGTGAGAAGATGTGAGAAGATGTGAGAAGATGTGAGAAGATGTGAGAAGATGTGAAGATGAGAAGATGTGAAGATGAGAAGATGTGAAGATGTGAAGATGAGAAGATGAGGAGATGTGAAGATGAGAAGATGAGAAGATGAGGGATGAGGAGAAGATGTGAGGATAAGAAGATGTGAAGATGAGAAGATGTGAAGATGAGAAGATGTGAAGGTGAGAAGATGAGAAGATGAGAAGATGTGAAGATGAGAAGATGTGAAGATGAGAAGATGTGAAGATGAGAAGGTGTGAAGATGAGAAGACGTGAAGATGAGAAGATGTGAAGGTGAGAAGATGTGAAGATGAGAAGATGTGAAGGTGAGAAGATGAGAAGATGAGGGATGAGGAGAAGATGTGAGGATAAGAAGATGTGAAGATGAGAAGATGAGGGATGAGGAGAAGATGTGAAGATGAGAAGATGTGAAGATGAGAAGATGTGAAGATGAGAAGATGTGAAGATGAGAAGATGTGAAGATGAGAAGATGTGAAGATGAGAAGATGTTTTACAGACCCCCACTATTGGAAGAACCCTGCGCTCAGACGCTCTCGGAAAAAAAAACATCAAGCATCATCACTCATAGCCTCCACGGTGCACAGGAACCGCGTTGCCATGGTGACTCCTTGTGCCTGGGCCCACGCCCATAGCGGGATATGGCGGTTCCATGGCAGATGCTAAGCTCAGAACCCCCATGGCCAAAGCAGCCGCCAGTTGCCTCCCGGTTCCTGTGGAAAAAACGTGTTTTTTTTTGTGAACTTGGATGGGTCCAGAAAGGAAATAACTGATACTGTAAGTTTTTGGAACTGGGTCTTTGATGGTGACCGATGATTCGTAGATGTGGGACGATGTGGGTGTCCAAGTCTTTTTTTTTCTCTCTCTCCCTCTCTCTCTGCACCCGATTCATTTGGTAGAAAGCCATCGCTGCAAACAGGTCGACGAAGAGAACACGGGTCACCCTGAAAAAACAGTGGGATTTCTAACAATGCATGTTACATAAATAACCCGGCAGACTGGAAACCGTGCTCGTAAAAGCACGTTTTTATAAAAAGAAAATAGTATGGCACTGTGGTGAAACGCGTTTTTTTAATCAAAAACATCAAGAAAATGGATCCCAAAATTTGGCCTCATTTTCATCGGAGGATTTTTGTGGACTGTGAAAAATAGCAGTTTTTCCGTCAGAAGATGCGTTTCAAAGCTTCGATGGTCTTCTTCTGTAAGGTGGCATTGAGGTTTATATAATTTATATTAATTTATATACATCCATTGTAAACAGGCCGAAACCGTGCTCTTAACAACTACAGTCGTTGGAAGAGCTTACAAAGTAAGTAACATAGCATCGAGAACCTAGTTGAAATTGGATGACAACGTACTTGCAGTTTCAAAAAGAGGACGAAAACGTAGTTGCAAGCTGTGTTTCAAAAATCAACAACATAGAAGAAGATGACATCGTAGTTGCAAGTTGTGTTAGAAAAGCCAACAACGTAGTTGCAATTTGAAAAGAAGATAACAACGTAGTTGCAAGTTGTGTTACAAACGTAGTTGCAATTTGAAAACGAAGATGACAACGTAGTTGCATGTTGCATTACAACAGCCAACAACGTAGTTGCAATATGTTGCAATTGGAAAAAGAAGACGGGAACGTAGTTACAAGTTGTGTTACGAAAGCCAACAACGTAGTTGCA